ACAAGTCGTTTTTTCTTTCATTGGACCGGTTAATCTAGCTTGCCAATCATCTATACGCTCGCGAACTAAAGCTTTTAGTGAGCGATGTAAACTACCTTGGAACGTGAATGTTCACGAAATGCCCACCTTAAAAAGCAGACAATATATTTAATATTTTCACACGTAAAATGTATGATGTTCAAAATAGGGTATAATTCATTCACTCACCACATTGCTAATTCAGCAGTAACCGTTTATCCTGATCCCGTGGGCGCGCCAATCAATACATTGGATGAAGAATTATAAAATGTGTCAAACACCTGAGTCTGTACAGGATTGAAATAATTAAATTTCTTAACACATATTTCTTCAAGTGATTTATTTTTCAGAGCGGTAAACTCAACAATTCTGTATGTTGATGATAATTTGCAGGCAAAACTAGATGGTTTAAGGAAACTGAAAGAAATTTCTCAGCTCCTATCCACCTATCAGATATGATACGCATAAATAATTGAGGAGGTAGTTCTTGGATTTGAATTGCGAACCTAATCTTTTGAGTTTCTCAAGTTGCTTCCTGTTTAATATAAAAAATTCTAATGATATAACTCGATATTTTCAGAATCCTCGACGAATATCCATCATGATTCTACAACACCGTGAATATGATCATTCCAAACGAAGTCAGAAGTAATACTAAGAGTACCTCGTAGAATATTACATGTAATAGGTGCAACTTGTGCTACCAACTTTAGAATTCTAAACATTTAGAAATATAAGCGTTCATGCTATTCTGCTTAACTAATTGTCCAAGTTCAGTCGAGTACATATCTCTCATGTCCTCTAATGAAGGGGTGTGTGGATTATTTTGAAGCTTCGAGGCATTTTAAATTGAGCCTGAGGATTCTCAAACGTCCACATGCGCTTGTCAATACATTTATATAATTCTAATAAAGTAGAGCCCAGTTACGATTCAAAGCAATTTCAAATAAAGCTCGGACTATGCGACTTGTATTCTGTACTACAAACGCTGAA